GATCAGACCAGAACGGGACAACGTTCCATCCAAAACCACCACAGCTGGTCCCGTCAGGTCCTGGACCTTTACAGACAGCTGTTAGAAGAAGAGCGGATGCTCCACAGAGAGAAACGTGGACCAGGAGAAGAGTTGCCGCCATCAAATTTAAATGATTCAATTAAATATTTGAGATGCTCCATTACACGTGGTACATGAGGTGGAACGAAATTATGCACTCGAAGTCCCAGTTACACCCAAAAATAGAAAAATATCAAGTGTAAAAAGACACAGTGTACAAGGATCTAAGATATAAACTAAACGAACGCCAAACGGTACGATAAAGATCTAAGATATACGCTAAACACTAATAATGTGAAGTAATACGTGTATAAATTTGGGTTATTGAGAGACGCCAACCATCAAATACTGTTTTTATTTACATTTTAATCAACGTCTCAACGTTTCCAGAACTGGAGTTGTTTTAACTTGAGATCAATTTATTCTTCAGTCCATCATAAACTGGAACAAACTCTTGGGCGCCATATTTTCCACTCAGAGCTACTTCTGGTCGAAGACGGTTAGAGCGCCGTGTGTGTCCTCGGGGGAACGGGCGTCTCGGCCCTGTCCCAGGACCCCGGAACCTCGCAGAGCACCGGGACCCGAGCGCACAACAAAACGGGCCCGTCAGCGTGATTTATCGACCATTCACGCGCTCACCGACGTACGAAAGGCGACGCACGGACGTGGAAAGTTCCCCGGAGAACAAAGCGGATCCCGGGCAAAGATGCGCTCGGGCAGATGTGCACTCGCAGGAGTTGGGTATGAAAGCACGTCTGGAGGCGAGAGGAATGCGCCTCTTTTGATATGATAAGAATGGTCACGAAAAACAATGGAAGGGAACGAAATAAAAGAGCTGAATAACTCCTAAAGTGGTTCTGGGAAAGACAAGAGGAGGGGGGAAGGATGTGGATGAAGGAAGATGTCGGAGGAGAAGGAGCCGAGGAGGAGGCGGGGGTTTGAAGTAAACATGGATGCCGGATGAATGCAATTTTTCCTTTTCTTCTTCTCCCCATCTTCGCCCCTTCCTTCTCCTCCTCCGAGCGAGAGAACAAGAGGCACTGCATCATCCCGACAGGCGGAGAAAGAGAAGAGAAGGAGAGAGAAAGAGGGATTGTGACGGAGGGATAAAGGGCTATCCGTCTCTGTCTGTCACCTCATTCATCGTCCCCTGCTCCGTCCTGCCGTCCCATCCGTCATCTGCTGTCACGCACCAACAAAAAAAAAAAAACTCTTTCCACGACGAGCACACACATCAAAGACAAACTCGGACTCGCTCTCCGCCCCGTTTCACTCATTCACAGCGACGACACACAAACACTTCCACCGACTTTCACAGGAACGGGCGACGAAACGAAGCCAAAAGGCCTCTCGGACCCTCCGGCCCGTTTCACACACTCAACAGCGATGACGGCACACCAAACGTTCGCTCACACTGACTTTTCATGCACGTTTGCACCCGTTTGCCAGAGTCGAGACTCGGCGTTCTCAGTGTGGCCGTCCAGCTCCGACCGGTTCTCTCCCAGGAAACGAAAGAAAACAGACGGCGCCCAAGCCGAGTCGCTTCCTGCTCCCTGAAGTCCGACTACGCCGGGGCCCAAGTTGACCCCAGAATATCTGGTAAAGGTTCTGAACTAGGAACAAACATTTCAAGAAACCAAACTGAATTTCTTGATACCTATTCAACAGTTGCGGTAAATATTCGTCTACATACCCTTCAATGGAACCGAGGTTTGGATATGCTGCTGCTAATTCTGTGGATACTGTTACGATAAAGTAACGTGGAGAAATGTGTACATATACACAGTTCCTATTAGAGTATTGGAAACTAGTCCTACTGGAAAACCACCATCTTGGTTGGATACCTGTAACCAGTGGTGGAGGAAGTACTCAAACACTGTACTTAAGTAAAAGTACAAGTAAAATGACAAAAATGTACTCTAGTAAAAGTATCACATTAACATTTTTACTTAAACGTAAATAAGTACTGCGTTAAAAAAAAATACATAAAGTATTAAAAGTAAAAGTACTTGCTGAACGTATTACCTAATGCAATGGTCTACAATATCATTAAATGCGCCTGTATGTATATTTTCTGTAATACAATAATGGTGTTGAGCCATTCTAGTTAAAATACTGTCTATTCAACCTTGTAATGGGTCAATAGTGAACAATATTTTAACTTCTTGACACCATTTTCAAAACTTGGACCCGAGTGTTGAGACATTTGGAGACATCTCTTGTCTCCTAACATCCCATGAAGTGACGTATTTTAATATTGCAGCAAGAATTTCTTGTTCAAGTTCAGAAGAAGTTGGTTTTCAAAGTTTTTTGAGTCCAGTCTGGCTCTTTAGGGAGAGAGAATCTGTCCTGCTGTACTGAGTCTTTCAATAATCTTTCAATAATCTTTCAATAAGGCCATGAGTGGCCGACTCTCTGCGGTGGAATCCATTTTGGGTGTTAGCGGTGCTGTGGGTGCGCCCAGCTCAATGACGTATATATAAGAATATACGTCATTGGTCCAGCTCTTCTTGAAGCAGGTGTAACGTTACCTGCCCACTTTGCAGTGACTCAATGGACCAACTCCCCTCTCACCACTGGTTACTGTCAAACTAACGGACAAATAAAAAAAAACGCAACGTGGGTGTGTAACGTGCAACACATTATAGAAATGTAGTGTAGTAGAAAGTACAGATACTTAATGTAAAATGTAGTGGAGTAAAAGTAGAAAGTACCAATGTTTAACTCTACTTAAGTAAAGATACAAGTAACGAAGTACTTTACTTCTATACATCCCACCACTGCCAGTGCACAGCGCTAATGAGTCCCTTTCCATATTTTCCTCGACTGCAGCTTCTTCAAAAGCCAAAGGACGTTCATTGTCAAAAGACAGAGTCGTTGAAAAGGTATGAAACAAATTCTTTAGTCTTTACATTAAAAAAGAAACTGTCCAGATGACCAACAAAGTCCATGCTCAACAATCCAGGTATACAATCCAACAATTTTCAGATGACCAGATGACCTGACTGAGCATCGTTGGATTCCGTACCTGGATGACTGCGCATGAACTTTGACGTCTTGAACCACTTTGGCTGCCTGCCAGGGAGGCGTCGACGGGGGAGAGGGCAGCCCCCAGAAACCAAAATACTATGAAAAATATTGAAAATAACAAATGCAAGCTGGGGAAATTATCAATGAAAACTTATGATAACTTACATTAAATAAATCCATGTTTCCCTTCCCTTGTTGTGTTTTGGTATTTGGGCCACTTTCGTTGAAACCGACCGTTTAAGGCAGCGGAGGTCCACGTCATAACCAGATATACTTTCATTCGTCTTCAACACAGTCCTTGGTATTTCTGCGTACATCGATGCAAGTGCAGCCCTAAACACGCAGTAGCTGTGGTCTTGTGGCAAAGTATCTGAGCTCTGGCTGCAAACTCTCAGGACGGATCTGGGTTCTGACAAAGACCCGATCTGTCAGAGATCAGGTGCCTCGGAGCAAATACACAAATAGCAATAAAATCCTAAAAGATGTGTGAATATTAAAACTCCGCACCTTACAAGACAAGGACGTCCGTCATCTTAAAGATTTGTATTTATATTCTAATCTTCATCAAAATGTTTTTGCACTTCAGCCTCTGCTGATCTCATCTCAGTCCTCGTGCTTCACAGGAAAACGCGTTTTTTTTTGTTTTTTTTTACGGTCGCGGTAAATAATTTGCTTTTTAAATCAAAACAACGCTCTTCTTTTAGTCTGAAAATAAATCGGCGAACCTCCGCGTGAAGAGACGTCGCTTATCCAACGAAGGTGGAGCCAAAACGCAGAATTTGACTGTAAACGTAAATCCTTACTGTTTTTATAGGAACCAGCAGCAGATGAAACGGTCACCAGTAACTGAGCGTTCAGCTGTTTTAACGTGCGCTCTTAGAGAAGCATCTGCTGCCGCCCGTCAAGAACTTCTTACAACAGTTCATAAATCTGGATCCACCGCCGAGACGAGTGTCCAAACGTCTCATTTCTCCAGCGTCCTCAGAGTCTTCTGTGGGTTGGACTGTTGGACATTCACCACTTATTTACCATAAAATGTTTGTTTCGTGAGATAAAAGTTAATTCCATTATTAAATGAACTTTTCTAGACTCTAATTTTTTGTCTTATGAGGTGTTAAAGTGAAAATAAAGTTTATTTTCCGAAGTCCAGTGGCCAAGTTTTATTCTTTGTATTGCGTCATCATTATTGTGCCAATTCTTTGCTAAATTAATTAGTTTTAGGTTTAATGAGTCAAACTGATCCACTAGGAACAAATAAATACACTAAATTTTAGACAGACTGCAAAACGGTGATCATTTTTGGCTTCCATTAAATATTTTTATAATCTGCATAAACGCACTGCGCATGTGTGAGCAAATTATTTTTATTTAGTAAAATCTTGAACTAAATAAACTAAAAAAGGTACAAGGAACATCTGAAAATAGTTAGTTTTTTGTCTAATCTAAATAAATAAATAAATAAATAAATCCATAAACCTACAGTTTTCCCAAACCTTTTGTTGACACGAACAAATTCAGATTTTGTCCATTTAAAAACTAAATCCAATAAATATTTTTTAGGACTATTTTCACAACAAAATTCGATAATTCAAACATAAGATCAGCAGAAACGGCTCGACAGACGAGGAAACCGGAAACAAATTCAGGAAAAACTGTGAGTTTTCAAAGATTCTGTACGTTTGTGGAAACATTTAGAGAGAAACATGAAAGTTATTAAAAAAAAAAAAAAAAAACAGTACGGGGAATGAAACCACTAAAGAAACCCTTTAGAGGAAGACGAGGACTGAGGACGAGAGGATGAAATGTGAGGAGGGCGGTGGGAGATAGTGGGGACAAAAAACAAACAAACAAAAACAACAAAAAAAAGAGAGAATGAAGCAGAGAGGACCACGACGGAGACAAAGACCTACTTGTCTCAAGTCACTGAAGGCCAGAAGCAACGTGTCACCCTGGAAGCCTGCGACCGGGCCGGCTCTGGCAAAACCTGTGGGAAAATTAAAAAAAAACCGCCCCCCCCAACCATCCCCCCCCCCCAGAGAGAGGGAAGAGAGGAGGAGGAGGAGGAAGATGAAAAAAAGAGGGTGAAAAACGGAATAATAAAAGACCTGGTAGGATTTGCTTTGCATCGGGATAGATTGGCAGACAAATGACAGCCTGGGGAGGAGGGGGGAGGAGGGGGAGGGAGTCGTGTGTGTGTGTGTGTGTGTTGTCCCGAACGTGTCGGATCAATGATTTCTACAGATTTTGCGCTTGTTTTCGTTACAGGGGACAGCTGAAGGCTCGTTGTGGAATTTGAACCCGGGCTGACGGCCCGGGGTCGAACGGAGTGTAAGTCGGGCGTCGGTTGGCCCCTCGTAAACAAGCCGGCTGGCGCTCGGAGCGAGGGAACGCGAGGAAAGAGGAGCGCCGTGGAGATGGGAGGACAAGTCTGAGGCTAGCTCCTTTCACCTCGGGACACACACACAATCAGAAACACAAGGCCCTACACACCACAGCGCTCATTACACGCCTGCCATCTTCACTGACCCTGGCAACACACCGACAGCTCCTGAACTTTGAAGCCACCGGTTAAATTAACCTTTTATAACTTTTAAACTTTTACCCTTAAGGTCTTCCAACCATGAGAAAACGGGTCTGT